GTGCGCCTGTCCCTCTCGCAACCCCCTTAGAGGCAGTAGCAGTTCGTGTTCTGCTTTACCGCCTAATTACTATTGTTTCGCTTTACCTTCCACCAAACTTTCCAGTGCATTTACATGACCTGCAAGGGCTTGTGGGCCAACTGCCACAGCCTTTTTTAATCTTAGGAGATTTTAATGCACACCATTCCATGTGGGGCAGTGCTCGTCAAGACTCTCGTGGCGGTGTCATAGAACGTTTTTTACTGTCATCTGGCCTTTGCCTTTTAAACAAGAGACAACCAACTTTTTTTAGTGCACCTCATAATACTTTTACTTCCATTGATCTTTCCATATCATCACCTACTTTACTTCCTTGTTTTTCTTGGAAGGTTTTAGAAAATCCTTTCGGTAGTGACCATTTTCCTGTAATTTTAGAAAGTTCAGTATCCCTTCCTTCTCTTCGAGCTTGTGCTCCCAAGTGGAAGTTAGATAAAGCCGACTGGGCTTTATTTTCTCTGGAGGCAGTGGTTGATCCCGCTATTTTTTTAGCTAAGTCTCCTGAGGAAGCGACTCTTTATCTTATCAAAAAAATTATAAATGCTGCTTCTCTGTCAGTTCCCCGAACTTCTGGAAATATTCCCAAGAAATGCAAGCCTTGGTGGAACAAGGACTGTACGACCACCATAAAAGCTCAGAATAAGGCTTGGGGAAGGTTTCGGCAGTACCCGACTGTTCAGAACAAGATTAAATTCAAACAGTGCAAAGCAAAAGCTCATTGGACACGAAAACAAGCCAAGAGGACCTCATGGGTAAAATATGTATCCTCTCTGAACAGTTTTGTTCCTGCAAAAGAGGTATGGGATCGTGTTCGGAAAATTCGGGGTACTTGCCACTCCTTCAGTATTCCCCTTTTCCCTTCATCATCCCCATCACTAAAAGATCAGGCTGACATTCTTGCTGATCATTTTCGAGAGGTCTCCAGTTCTTCAAATTACAGTACTAAATTTAAAAAGTTCAGGTCTTTGGCAGAAAAACAGCCAATTGATTTCTCTGGAAGTGATAATGGTTACAACCGGCCGTTCACAATGTATGAACTTGAAATAGCCCTTGCAGTAAGGAAGCAGTCAGCACCTGGCCCAGATATGATTCATTATGAACTGCTGAGGCACTTGTCGGCTGAATCCTTGATGAATTTGTTGTCTTTCTTTAATCATTTATGGGCAGCTTCTTGTTTTCCACAGTGCTGGAAGCAAGCACACATCATTCCCATCTTGAAGCCTGGCAAAGACCCTTCCCTACCAGCAAGTTATCGGCCTATTGCTTTGACTAGTTGTCTAGGAAAAACTTATGAACGGCTTATAAACAGAAGGCTAGTATACATTCTAGAACAAAAGAAAATTTTCGATAAAAACCAGTGTGGTTTTAGAAGAGGTCGCTCAACCTTGGATCACCTTGTCCGGTTAGAGACTTTTGTTCGTGAGGCTTTTGTGAACCGGCAGCATTGCCTTTCTGTCTTTTTTGATTTACAGAAAGCTTATGATACGGCATGGCGGTACGGAATACTTCAGGACCTGTATAGGTGCGGTGTTCGTGGTCACATGCTGCGTTGCATAAAGGACTTCTTGACAGACCGTTGTTTTCAGGTCCGCCTGAGATCCACGCTCTCGGATGTTTTTACACAGGAAAACGGCGTTCCACAGGGAGGTGTCTTGAGTGTTACCTTGTTCGCAATTAAGATCAACAGCCTCGCTGCAGTTATACCACCACCAGTTTTTTATTCATTGTACGTAGACGATGTCCAGATTGCTTTCTCCTCATGCAACTTGTCAATTTGTGAGCGCCAATTGCAGATAGCAATAAATAGGATGAGTAAGTGGGCTGATGAAAATGGTTTTCGGTTTGCACCAGAAAAAACGGTGTGCGTGCCTTTTTCATTACGTCGGGGGTTGTCGCTAGATCCCAGCTTGCAGATGAATGGCACTGACATATCCGTTAGGCATGAACACAAGTTCTTGGGTGTTATTTTTGATAAGAAGCTCACTTTTCGGACCCATCTAAAAGAACTGAAGCGAAAGTGTCTTAAATCTGCCAATGTTCTCAAGGTGCTTGCACACATGTCCTGGGGTTCTGACAGGAGATGCCTCCTGCGACTCTACAACTCGCTGGTTCGTTCCCGCCTCGACTATGGTGCGGTTGTATATGGCTCGGCACGACCGTCATTTTTAAAAATGCTAGATCCTGTGCATCACCTTGGACTTCGACTTGCCACGGGGGCCTTCCGAACGTCGCCTGTTCCGAGTTTGTATGCAGAGACGCACCAAGTGCCACTAGAAAAGCGAAGACAGTTCCTCAGCCTATGCTATAGTTATAAAGTCAAATCTGACCCTGAACACCCATCCTATCGTTGCTCGCAGGTATCTCCTTTTTCACGTCTTTTTGAGAACAAGCCAAGTATAGTACGGCCTTTAAGCCTCCGCATTCAATGCATGTCTGCATCCCTGCAGCTTGCACTTCCTGAGCGTAGCTTGATGACAAAAGTTCGAAGCATTGCTCCTTGTAAGGTGGTGCACTATACCTGTGACTGGTCACTAGCGAAATACAATAAGCGAACTGTTGCACCACTAGTCCTTCAGCAAGAGTTTATGACCTTGCAAGCTAAGTATAAGGACCATGCACAATTCTTCACTGATGGTGCAAAAACTCCACACGTTGTCGGTTCGGCTGTATATTCAGAACACTTTGTAAAAGCTCGACGGCTTCACTCTGTTGCCAGCATTTTTACTGCAAAACTTTATGGTATGCTCATGGTCATTGAATATATATTAGGCAACAACATCAGGAAAGCTATCTTGTTTGTGGACTCCCAGAGTGCTATCCTCTCTCTCTGTTCCCTCAAAGATTCTAAGAATCGGCTCGTGCAACAAGTACGGGTAGAGTTAAACCTGGCTTTCCAAATGGGATACAATATCAAGCTGTGCTGGGTACCAAGCCATGTGGGAATTTCAGGTAATGAGAAGGCGGATATGCTAGCAGCCTCTGTTAAGGATGCTCTGGAAACACCCGTTCAACTGCCTCAAGAAGATTTTAAACCAGTTCTTAAGAAAGCAATTCATAATGCCTGGCAGCAAGACTGGGACGAAGAAATAAATAATAAGCTACATGTGATCAAACCACGTTTGGAGGTATGGGAGAGTTCGCACCATAGAGACCGTCACCATGAAGTTTTAATGTGTCGTTTGAGAATTGGACATTCACGTGTCACCCATCGACACCTTCTTTGTGGTGAGGACACCCCAGTCTGTGAGCATTGCGGTGAATTGCTAACAATGCTGCATATTCTATGGCACTGCAAATTCTTTGATCAAGAACGTCGAACAAGTTTCCCTTCACTTTCTGGATACCTTCCATTTCATCTAGCCTTTTTACTAGGGGATCAACCTTTAGTTCCTTTTGGTCATATTTTAGATTTTCTTAAGGGGGGACATGGCCTGGGAGGGTCAACTTTTGAACCATTGTCTCGAAGTGATTCAAACTTTCAGGGTGAATTGAACCCCATTAGGATTGATGACATCTAAAGTTTCAGCCTTATAGGCCAATTCTACCGCTTAGCAAGCTCCATAAAAAAGTTACTTTATTAGGAAATGTATTTAAGAAAAATAATAATTGAAATCCAAAAATTGTTTAGTTTAATGTGAAGTAGAATACCCATAGTGCAAGTTAAGGTAAAAATTAACTGTAGAAAATGTGATTCTAGAGAAAAACAATAACATCCAAAAAGAGCGAACGATTTTAACAAATTTGTGAGTTTTAAAATATTCAGTTTTTGTCATGAAGAATTTAGCATTTTCAGATTATGAGTACCTTAACTTGTTCCTCAGGAAATTTGAGTCCAGGACAACACTGAATGAAATCTTTACACTTTCAAAATGTCCAATGATACATTTCCTCATACCACATTTCCTGCCAAAAAGTGAAATTGAGAAAAATGCATTTGAAGTTTCAACTTTAGGTTTCTTTATTTTTTATGAGTCCGAGGTAGGCAAAATTCACCTGGAGCATTGTTAGCACCTTCGTCTTTGAGCATCTGTTGTTCCCCTGGCAATAGCTACCAGTTAGTGTTGTTTGTAGGCATGCTAACTTTTGTAGCAGGCATTCCCTGACAGATAAGCTGACAGGAACTAAGAGGCAAATCACACTGAGAAAGAGCAGCAAAGCAGGAATAGGATCTGAAGTGGAAGATACTGTAAAGGGGCGTTAATGAAGACGACAAAATATCACGTCACCGGGAGGGACCAACCGTAAACCCTGTTTCAGGTGTCAACCAATAAAATTGCTCATACCAAATTTTCAGGATTTTTTCTTTTTGGATGTATTGGGTCCTCCTGGCCCTTGATACTTGTAAACTTTGAAAGCTTCTGCGAGCTAGATCAAGAGTAAATGGCACTTCCAATGAAGGTGAGATGTTCTGGCTAGGTTAAACGAGTATGAAGCAGTGCTAAATAAAAAACACAAAAAACTTGCTTCCTGCTGACTTGGAGGGCTGCCGACATGTCGAAAATAATTTATTCTGAGATAAATCCTGCATGTTTTTAAATGAAAGTTTCTGAAACCATTCTTTGGAAGTTAATAAGCATAAACATATCATTTTTGAAAAAAACGTTTTTTTCTGAAAATTTTGAATTCCGAGGCCATGTCCCCCCTTAAAAAAACTGGCTACCTGCACCAGTTATAGATCCTCTGCATAGTAATTCCTTCCTTTTACTATAAAGTCTTTTAATTATTCCTTTGGCGCAGCATGGCCTATGTTGCTTTTTGCGCCATTAAACACCTAATAATCTATCAATTAAACTTACTGTTATGCAAGAGTATACACCAACTCAACTCTCCTACGTCACGCCGCGGTGGTGGCGCGTCGGACGCACTTCCGGTCTGGGGCGGTGGGCAGAAGTCGCCGTGCAAGACATGCATTCTTGTGTTCTTTTCGGAGAAACCAGACAAAAAACCTGCGTTCTCGTCAAAATGCTGCGACGGGGGTGGTGCCAAAAGAGTCTGGAAAGGTTTGAGATCAGTTTTCATGTGTTTCTGCCCGCTCCGTTCGTCCGAGTACGTGGATAGTAGCCGTGAAAAGGGTAAACCAGACGCTGTCGAACTACGATTGCTTGTGCGGGCAACACTTTGTGGTCGCCAGATGTATTTTTGTTCCAACATTAACGAGAGAAAACTGCCAAGTTGTCCGGGCCCCCCGCGGGTTCAGTGCGTCTTCAAATTCACACGGCCGCCTGATCGTTCGACCTTTCGTTTGCTCTTTCGAACTTGTCTGCTTTTTGTCGTCTGCTCGTTCAAACAAAAGCGGCCCGTAGACCAAACTTTGACCCGGTGATTGCAATAAGAACTAATTGCAGGCCTCAAACGACTTAAGTAGGCTCGGTGTAAACAGTACATACAAGATGTTGATCGTTGGTACCAGTGGCCATCACCGACTTGTTACGCTTGGTCTGTTTCCGCTGCCGAATTTCAGTATCGACGTCGATCATCATCGCTACCTTCTACACTTTTGCAGCACGAGCGACGTCGCAACCGAAAATATCTAGAAGATTCTCATCGTGGTTTTGGCGTCCATTCTGTGGCGTTCACGCGAATGAATCGCCGCACGTCAAATTATTTACGCAAAGTTTATCGGTGTAACGAGCCTTGATAGTTTCGCTCAGGCGATTAAAATGGTAATACATTGCTATGGGGACGTAGATTCGACAATTCCAACGCGAAAAAGAGTTGCAGACTCACACAGACGCCGACAACGTGACATTTTAAAGGTTTGTGGACGCGGGACGCGGTGCTTCTAGTCCGCACTCCATTTCGCATGCGTTCGAACTGTCGTCTGCTCTTTCAAACTTGTATGCTTTTTGTCGTCAGCTCGTTCAAACGACAGCGGCCCGTAAACCAAACGTTGACCCGGTAATTGCGATAAGAACTAAGTGCAGGCCTCAAAACACATTTGAAGGTTGGTTGGGAGCTAAGTGTAAACAGATACAAGACGATGTTGATCGTTATCAGTGGCCATCACCGACTTGTAATGCCCGATTCTACTTGCGTTTTTCAGTATTGACGTCCACCATCTCACCTACGGTGCACGCTTTTGCAGCCCGAGCGACTGCGCGACTGAAAATAGCGAGATGAATCTCATCGTGCGAGTCAGGCTTTAGCGCCCATTCTGCGGCGTCCACGTGAAATGAATCGCCGCATGTCAGATTATTCACGTAAAGTTTTGCCTCGTTAACTTTGCTGAAGCCGCTCAAGTAGTCAGACATTGTTAGGAGGATGTAAAATCAACAATTCCAACGCGAAAAAGAGCACGGGGACTCCCACCGACGCCGAAAACAACGCAATGCAATGGTTTGTTTATGGGCGACGGCGGGCTTCTTGCCCACCGTCCACCGCGCATGCGCGGCGCCGGAGGCGTCCGCTTGGGGCGCTCCGGTTTGTTTGTAAACATGAGTTGGTGTTATATTAGGCAGAGATGCCCTTACAACCTGCGTTCAACATGTGCAATTATTTATTTTTTAACTTGAGATTAAAGAAGGCGTATTTTATATAGCAAACTTTTTAAATTCACTCAATTGGGTATAGGTGGCCATCTCTATAGGATTCATTTTATGTCAAATTCTTTGTTTACTTGCCATCCCAAGACATCAGACCTTATGAAGACACATTTTAAAAATATAGATAAACTTAGCCTATAAATGAACAAGTGGAACAACCTTCACAAGTTAGCTGGGTTTTCGTCTAAGCATTACGCTATGGTAGTGGAAGGCATGGAAAAACTATTCGATATTCGAATCGAAAATATTCGGCCAAAACCAGTATTCGCTTCGAACTCAAAATCCACTACTCGCACAAGACTAGCATATATAGAATTTGCAAACACTGATTGATGGTGGTATGATGCAGCACCATCTCACCAACATTGCAGTAAAAGAAACAGTCTGCATCATTGTGTCCACATTTTGCGGCGACATTTTTACCACATTGCGCGAACATGGCACAGCTATCACTGTCACTTCTTTGCAAAATGGGGGGGCGAAAAGGCGGGATTTTGCAACATTTAAATTCTTTAATAAATGTTTTTCTTCAATTTTACAGGTCAGCATGATGTCCCCAGATGAACGCCATGTGTCACTAATGATTGATGAAATTGAGCTGTCGCCAAGTCTGGTTTACGACCCATCAACTGGAAGGATCTTGGGCAAGCCAACCCTTCTTCTTGCGGATGGTAGCATCCCGGAAAAGCGTCTTGCCAGACACGGCCCTGTATTTATGCTTGGCTGACTGACCATAAGGTGGAAGCAGACTATTGCATACCATTTTACTGGAAAGTCTTTCAGTGCTATGAGTGGGAAAGAGGTACGTATTTTCCCCGACTATAAGTCACACATCCATATATTGAGCCGTTTTCGTCGAAAAGTTGGTATATAAGTTGCACCTCTTTGCATGGTCCACGCTATGATTTTTTCAGTTTACGCGCATTGGTATTGCGAAATCAGAGTTTCGCACAATTGCTAGATCGCACTTAATGTTTGTTGTACATTTCGACTTGTGAGAAATACCCATAGTATGGTGCTGTCTGGCAGGGGCAATCGAGTGTTTCACAGCAAAAGGATGTCAAATGCGCAAAATGAGAGGGTAGTCGACTTTATTCGAGCGGACGCATGCCGAGCGAACAAAGGTTTAAGGAGCTGGACACTCAAACCAAGCTTTGGAGCACTAGGCCTGGCGAAGTCCTGGAGACGACGCAAGCATCGATGCGCAGGCAGAAAGATAAACCTTGACATATTTTTTTCTGGTACCTCTAAAAGATTGGCTAGCCAAAATCCTTCCTTTTACATGTAGCAACACGGCTGGAGCGTGGCATAAAAAAACTGCTCATCAAACGGAAACTAAGAAAGACTTGAGAAAATATTCTGCAATGCGTGTATACCAGCCCCCTTACTTTTCAGTGTTACTGGACTGAAGCAAAAGAATACAGAACCATGGCTTAATTGAGCAACATCAATAACATGCTGTAAAAGTTTTATTCTCACCGTCTTGCCTATGCGCATTGAGCCGCTTCGGAGAAACCATAAAAATGAAAATATCTAGCTCCCATTCCGAGTCAAAACAGTGCGGTGACAGCAGCGCCTCTTGGAGGAAGAAACACCGCCCATGGCTACGCTGTTATGGTGCTCTACAAAAAATGGCGCGCAGCGTATAAAAAAAATGTCGTCGCACCTAAGAAACAAATCTAAAATAAGTCGCATTGTTGTATAAGTCGCACGAAGAAAAATGTTTGAAAAAAAACTGCGACTTATACACTGGAAAATAGGTAATCGTTGACATCCTGAAGCAGTGTGCTCGCATTGGCATAATTGTGGATGCTGTGTTCAGCAACATGGGAGGAGGATGCTTGGGCCTATGGAAGCTGTTTGGCATTGTTGTAAACAAGAATGGTCTACGCATTGTTTCTTGCCCTCATTCTTGCGACGCGTCAAGAAACTTGTACTTCATGGCTGATGTACCACACCTGCTTAAAAACCTGAGAAACCATCTCACGGGAGGGTAGTCTAATTATCTACCTCAAAGTGTGGATGATGAACATGGGCTTGTTAGCAATGAGGTGAATCTGGACTGTGTGAAGCTGCTCATAGGCTTGGTTAAAACCTCCGAGCTTAAGTTGGCTCCTCACTTGAAGGAGTCATGGGTGGAACCTGGCCATTACAAGAAAATGAAAGTGGGGCTTGCGTTTTCTTTCTTCAATATTGACACAGCAGCCGCTATCTGTCTTCTGGTCGAAAAGAACCATATGTCGAAAGATGCTCTGACAACAGCGTGGCTTATTGAGACATTTTTTAAATGGTTCCGCATCGTGAGGTTGCAAACAACCAAACTCGCACTGAGCAGATTTGATTCAAACAAATATGAGTCTCTTCCATTTCTCAGAGACACGATTGAGTTGTTTGCAACATTGTCCTTTGGAAATGCAGTGCAGCATGTGTGGAAGCCTATTCAAACAGGAGTTATCCTTGCCACAACATCAGCTCTTGAACTGCAGGACCCCTTCTTGGATGAAAAGGGACTTTTATTTGTTTAATTAAGCTGCCTGAGTCCAGATGCTTTGGAGAACTCTCTGAGATCCAAAAACCGAGTACCATGCCCATGTGACTTAAAGTGCGCAATCAGAGCTTGTCCTGCGACCGCACAAGGATGGGAGCTATGCTGAGGAGAGTGGATTTTTGCTGACAGGATTGCAGCAAAAGCATTGCTCTGCCGAGTCAGTCGAGGAGATTGAGCCCAATGTCCCAGAAGACATGCTTGACCTCACTTGACCAGAGCAGGAGTCTTTAGAATATTTGGGTGGGTTTGTAGTTCGGAGTGTCATAGACAGGTTTTCGTTGTGTACAGGCTGTGTTGGCGCCATATGTAGTTGCAATCCAGCTAATAGGTTGACGCAATTGAAGTCATACAACAAAGAAAACATAAGGCTGGTAATGCCCTCAGCATCTGTGATGCTGCTGCTTGAGCGAGCCAAGACTTATTTTAGACACAATGAGCAACAGCTGCTTTCGAATACAGTTTGCTTAGACATGCCTATTTTAGGTTCTCTTACCTTTTCGAACTGCTTTTCGGGGTGTCATGATGTGAAGACAAAACTTGTGCGAGTATTTCTAAAAACTTGACTGCATTTTGCAAAAAAAGAAAGAGAACAGTGAACGTTTGAAAAAAGGGAAGTCCTACCTGAAATGTGGGAGCCGGGGTGTTGGCATGCATGCGGCGGCAACTAATGTCAAGTTGAGTATTTTGTACCTTGTATGTTTCTGTATTTTGTGTTTTTTGTTTCCTTAAATTAGCAAATTTGTATTTCTTTTGCGACGAGGTCAGCCCGTCAAACATGATCTCTTTTTGTAAAAGCTTGGTCTGCTGGGCAAGTTGGTAGTGGACATTTATATTAAAAATAGCCTAAAAGAGACGGGACAAAAAGACGAAGAAGCACACAGGACAAGGGCTAACTGGCAACTAAACTTTATTGAAAGCTTCCAACTTTTCTATCACCATGCACGCTTAGTCTCGTATCAACAGAAACAGGGCTTACCGCCAAATCCGCACATTCATACCGCCCGCCACCTGTTCTAAAAAGTCAGCAAAACAGCTACATCACCCCGCCGCAGAATCCGAACGAGGAAAGAAATAGAAAAAACGCCGCGTTAATATTATCAAGTTAGATAGTGTTAATGAAACTGTACTCTTTTGGCTGCATATACACCGATGCGACGCTTATGCAAACGTCTTTGTCACAAGCATGTATTTTTGCCACCTCCAGCAACTCTCGTTCCCTCCTTCCTTTGTTACGTCCCTCCACCTGCGCACCGTCCAGCGTGGGGGAACAACCATAAGTTTTACAATGCCCCGGTAAGTGGGAACCGTAATTGTTGCCAAGAGAAGCCGCATGCTCTCGAAGTCGATCATTTAAGCAACGTCCCGTCTGCCCTATGTAGACACGACCACACGTTAAAGGAAGTCTGTAAACCACCTCAGTGGCACAAGGTACAAAACTTTGTCAGGTGTTTCTTGCTACAAACAGGTTTGTTCACTTTCGGCCCGCTCACCATAGCGCACAATTTTGACAATCTGCACGGGGCAGTGAAGACAACATCCACGTCGAGCTTTGATGCAATCCTTTTCAGATTGTACGACACCTTATGGACGTAAGGTAGCACTACCAAATTCTTTGGTTTCCTCTTAGGTACAATGGAAGAGCATTTCAACTTCTTTAGAAGGGATTCCGCAACTCCCTGGATTAAAACCGAGGGAAACCCGGAGTGTTCCAAGCGAAGTGTCTGGAGGTCAAAACTCTCACTAACTACATGCGGACAGGACTTCAACAGAGCCGACCGGAGGCAGAGCGAGGCGATGCCCCTCTTTATCAATTAAGAGTGGGCTGAGTCAAAACTCAGCCCACTCTAAATTGATAAATTGATATTAACGTGGCGTGTTTCTATTCCTTTCCTCGTTCGGATTGTGCGGCGGGGTGATGTAGCTGTTTTGCTGACTTTTTGGAACAGGTGGTGGGCGGTATGAATGTGCAGATTTGGCGGTACGCCCTATTTCTGTTGATACAAGACTAAGCGTGCATGGCGATAGCAAAGTTGGAAGCTTTCAATAAAGTTTAGTTGCTAGTTAGCGCTTGTCCTGTGTGCTTCTTCGTCTTTTTGTCCCGTCTCTTTTGCGCTATTTTTAATATGAATATCTCTTTTTGCTTCGTAGTCTGCTAAACAGTAGTGATCATTATTCTTTTGCCAGAATTTGTGCATGTTAACTTGAGCCATTACAATTACCTTGAAATTTCTTTTACCTTTAATTACAGTGTTAATGGTTTGCTTAGGTCCAGTCGCACTGTATAATCAAGAAATGACTACCGTAAAGTACCGAAGAAGCGCCCACCCCCATTTTATTGAAATACGCATAGAAACCAACTATGGGCGCTTATTAGGTTCATGCGCCAAAATCAAGATGGCGGCTGATGAAGAGCCTCATAGAGCCGTGGAAACAGAGAAAGCAGCCAGCCTGGCTTTTTTATTTCCGCTGTACAGATGATTGGTAGACGTCATTATTCACTTGTTATCACTAAATCTGTCAAATGACTCTTCGGAATTAATCACTGCAAAAGACAAGGTCTACGCACTCATCGCTGGCACCTTCGGGATTGGAGCAGGCTGCTGGTGCTCCGATGCCTGCGAGTCCGTTGTGCAGGTAGCCATCCTTGCTACCGATGCCACACCCCTTGAAAGATTGGGCGATCATGTCTTCGGGCACGGCTCGGTGTTGCCAACCTATTTTTCGAAAATACCCGACGACAGCGTCCAGAAAACCCTACATTACCCTACGAATGTTTCTTATTACCCTACGTTTTACCCTACGAGGCAAATCTTTGTTTAAATAATACTGTTGCATGGATTATGATGATACAGGGTAATATTAATACAGTACAAAGCGACAGGGCATGCATTCACGCGCATACCTGCGTTATTCTAGAACACCATGCTTGCATCTTGCATGTGCGCTGTGTAGCATCAGCACAACAGTGATGTAGCGAGCGCACAGACATCCCCAACCAACATGTTTAGTCGATTTGTCGTGAAATTAAAAACTGGGCTACGCGGAACCAGCACTCGCGGCGCCAGACAAGGCGGCTCATTACAAAAGGAAGCTAATCCGAACGGTATGTTAGCTTCTTTGGGTGTACCGCCTAGGGATTCGTCAAACTAAGGTACTATTTCGACAAACCAGGCTTTTACCCCATGGGAGGATAGGAAACCGGCGGCTCCTCCGAATTCGCTAAAATGTCATTCGATGAAACGTCATTGTTTCGG